CTATATATATATATATATATATATATATATATATATATATATATTATATATATTATATATATAATACATATATGTATATTTGTATGTATGCAATATTATATATATATATATATATATATATATATTATATATATATATATATATATATATATATATATATATATATATATATATATTGTATATATATATATAATATATAATTATATATATATATATATATATATATATATACAGACACACCACACGCCCTTCCCCTTTCCCCTTCTCCTTCTCCCCCCTTTTCTCTTCCTTTTCCTCCCCTTCTCCTCCCTTACCTCCAATTCCCACTTCCACTCCCCCCTCCCCCATCTCTCCTCTTCCTCTCTTTCCTCTTCCTCACACCTATCTCCCCTTCGCCCTTTTTATTTTTTATTTTTTTATTTTTTATCTTCTTATCTTTATCTTTTTATTTTATCTTCCTCCCCCCTTACCCTCCCTTTTCTTTTTTTTTCTTTCTTATCTTTTTATCTTTATCTTTTTATATCTTTACCTCCCCCCCCTTCCCCTCCCTTTCTTTTTGTCTTTTTTTTTTTTTTATCTATTCTTATCTTTTTTATTTCTATCTTTCCCTCCCCCCTTCCTTTTCTTTTTTTCTTTCTTATCTTTTTAATTCTTATCTTTTCATTTTTATCTTTCCCTCCCTCCCTCCCCTTTTTTTTCTTTTTTTTTTTTTTTTTTTTTCTTTTTTTTTTTACCTTTCCCTCCCTCCTCTTCCCCCTCCCTTTCTCGTTTATTTTTTTCTTTTCCCTCCCCCCTCCCCCTTCCCCTCCCCCCTCCGAAGGACTCCGCGACGACCCGCCCTTTGTTTCACTCCCTTCCGCTTTTCGTCGTTCCTCTGCCGACGCCCCTTGAGGTACTCCCCCCAGCTTAGGAACCCGTCCTTGTCCGTGTTCGTTGTCCTCAGAAACACCTCGTCGATCAGTTTCTGCGATTGGTTAAGGATGGTTAGGTGACGGTCTTGATTTGGGATTAGGGTTTAGGTCTGGAGTTAGGGCATTAGGGTTAGGTTTTGATTAGGGGATTAGGGTGGACGTCTTGATTAGGATTAGGGTTAGGTCTGGGTAGGGATAGCGGTTTTTAGGTTTTTTGATTAGGGATTAGGGTGACGTCTTGATTTTGGGATTTAGGCGTTTAGCTGGGTTAGGGATTTAGGTTATGGTCTGGGTAGGATTAGGTGACGTTCTTAGGGATTAGAGTAGGTCTTGATTTGGGTTAGGGTTTAGGGGTCTTGATTAGGGGATAAGTGTTAGTTTGATTTGGGATTGGGTTAGGTTCTGGTTAGGGGATTAGGTCTAGGTTTTGATTAGGGAATTAGGGGTTAGGTCTTGATTTAGGGGATTAGGTTAGGTTCTTGAATAGGGAATTAGGGTTAGGTCTTGATTAGGGATTAGGGTTAGGTCTTGATTAGGGATTAGGGTTAGGTCTTGATTAGGGATTAGGTTAGGTTTCTTGATTTAGGGATTACAGTGATGTTTTGATTAAGGATTAGAGTAGGTCTGGGTTAAGGACTAGGGTTAGGTCTTGATTTGGGATTAGGGTTAGGTCTGGGTTAGGATTAGGGTTAGGTCTGCGTTTAGGGTTAGGGTTAGGTTTTGATTAGGGATTAGGGTTGGTCTTGATTAGGATTTAGGGTTAGGTCTTGATTAGGGATTTATTAGGGATTAGGGTTAGGTTTTGATTAGGGATTAGGGTGACGTCTTGATTAGGGATTAGGGTTAGGTCTTGATTTGGGATTAGGGTTAGGTCTTGATTAGGGATTAGGGTTAGGTCTTGATTTGGGATTAGAGTAGGTCTGGGTTAGGGATTAGGATAGGATCTGGGTTA